TGTATAAATTTTTGTATGAGAGACTAACTTGAATTGTAAACTTTCACTTAAAGTACAGCAATAAAATAAAGTTTGCTCTAAGAAACGTGCAAAGGGCTACAGATGTCTGTGGATGGGTTTCAGGTGGTCCATGAATTCCCTGAATTTGCATGCACATTGTACTAGGCAGATCTGAGCTAGGAACCTGCCTTAGACCAGGGGTAGCTTAGGAGAACATGGAGAAAATGGAGTCGTGGGAAAAAAATTAACACCAGCTCTGAAATCTCAGTAATAAGATGATTTAAAAAAAAAAAATCCAGATAATCCAGAATATTTTAGGTTGTTAGTTTCTCATGAAAAAATATCAATCTTATGTGCGTGTGTAGAGTCAGTCAGTCAGTCCCTGGGTGGTGCAAATGGTTAACATGCTCTGTTGCTAAGTGAAAGGTTGTAGGTTTGAGTCCACCCAGAAGCACCTCAGAAGAATGGCCTGATGATCTACTTCTGAAAAATCAGCCATTGAAAACCCCATGAAGCAGTTCTACTCTGACACACATGAGGTCACCATGAGTTGGAACCAACCTGATGCAAATGGCAAATATAGATTATATTCATTCTTAGAATTCACAGATGCCTCCAGAAAAATCCTGGACCCTGATCTGAGAAAAACATTGGTTTAAGGGATTCAGGGAAAGTGCAACAAAACTGGTAACACTTGTCCTGCTATGAAAGATAAAGGATCTCACCAAATAGAAAGGCAGAGGGAACAGCTTATGCAAAACCAGAGGCTAACAGAGCACAGCACGTTGGGGTAATTGGGTAAGAATGAAATTTACAGAGTGAAGATGAAACTGGCATACGTCATATTAAGAACTATAATGAAACAATGTAGTTTTGAATAATAAACATAGGAAAGGCATCAAATCAGTAAAATTGTAAAGAAATGTTTTATTTACTTTAAGTTTTAGCATACCAGTAAAATTAAGTTTCATTAGTGAAGGCAGATGTACATGAGCATAGTTGCAGAAAAAAATCTTAAAGGAGTATTTCTGGGTATTTAAGTAGGACTTGAGATTGTGGGGCCTGATTTTTTAAATGGGTCTAAAATTAAGAAAACTCATGTCTTTTCTTTCCCCTGATAATTCTTCCAGAAAATTATGCCTACCAGTTACAATTATGATCAGATTTTGGCTCCCAAATAAAATTAAGAGGGAGGAGGCAAAAACAGGGAAATCTTCCTGAGGTAATTGGGTGAGAGGTGGAAGAAGGTGGGGAATGAGGTTACAGGATGTGTGTGTGTAGTGTATCTAAGGTGGGGAAAATTTCATTCACCAGAATTACTCTTGGGAAACGACTATAAATACAGTGGAAGATTCTTCTTGGGATATGTGATACGAGACACCCTCATTCTCAAATATAATAAAAGTCGCTAAACTGCCTTCTAATTCTACTCTGTCCTATGAGGTCGCTATGAGTCGGAACTGACTCAACGGCACATAACAACATTTGAATGAGTGGATTGTCAAAGGATTTTTGTTTTGCTGAGCAGTGATGGGTTAAGAATGTAATTGAGCTGAGGGGTGGATACCTGGCAAGAAAAAAGGAGCTGAGGGAGCTGAGCCCTGTGATGGGGAGGACAAAGAAAAACTGTCAGTGGAGGTTTGGCCAGCAAGGGACTCCTGAGAATATAGTGTACAGGATGTACAGTGTGAACCCCCTTCACCACCTCTTACGCAGCATCTTCAGTCAAATCTAATTCACTCATGGTTGTGTTTGTGTGAGTGGATTCTTTGCAGGGAGCTTGAAGAGGTGCTGAGTTCTATATCAGGGTTTGCAAGGTATGAATATGGAAATAAAATATGCAAACACAGGAACCAGAACTTAAACAGATCGGTGACATCCAGGCTTCATGAAGTGAGGAAGTTATGGCTGGGCACAATTCAAGCTTAAGCAAAGAAAAAAGGAATGAGAGCGCACACTCACTTGTAATCATCGTGTCATGGATTGTGTCCCCAAAAAATATCTGTCAGCTTGGCTGGATCATGATTCCCAGTGTTGTATGATTGTGTTATCTGATGTGATTTCCTTATGTGTTGTAAATTCTATCACTGTGATGAAGTTATGCTGATGAGGTTGACAAGATTAGATAGTGTCTTAATGCAATCTCTTTTGAGATATAAAAGAGAGAAGTGAGCAGAGACACATGGGAACCTCATACCACCAAGAAAGCAGTGCCAGGAGCAGAGTGCGTCCGCTTGGACTTGAGGTTCCTGCACAGAGAAGCTCCCAGACCAAGCAAAGACTGATGTATCACAAGGACATTTCCTCCAGAGCCGACACAGACAGAAAGCCTTCTCCTGGAGCTGATGCCCTGGATTTGGACTTGTAGCCTACTGGACTATGAGAGAATAAATTTCTCATGTTCAAAGCCATCCACTTGTGGTATTTCTGTTGAAGCAGCGCTAGATTACTAAGACACATCCTAAAGCCAAAAAAAAAAAAAAGGAAAAACCCAACTTGTTGCCACGGAGTCAATTCCAACACACAGTGACCCCACAGGACAGAGTAGAACTGCCCCATTGGATTTCCAAGGAGTAGCTGGTGGATTCAAACTGTCGATTTTTGGTTAGCAGGCAAGCTCTTAACCACTGTGCCACCAGGGCTCCAATCATCCTAAAGGAAGAGGTAAGTCAAAGAACTTTTCCTGCTAAAAGAGTGACTCCTAGACGCAGCAGAACCTGGAAGGATGCAGAAACAGTATGCAATCAATTGTTCATTTGAACAGCCCTTTTTCAAACCACAGGTATGAACCTGGGGGAACACCTATATTGAGGTAAAGACTAAACCCACTTTATGGATTTTAGCTGTGCCCAGTTATGTTTCAAAGACATGACTTAAATCCAGTAGTATTTAGTCATGACTAATCAAAATATGTACAAAACATTTGACATTAAGCTCTGCAATAAATCCTTTTATCCACAGCACAGCATAGCACCTATGAGCATAGACCAGGGTTGGAATCTTGGTTCTAGCACTTACCAGCTCTACGATCATAGGTAAGTTACTGAACAACCCCACCCCATTCCTGCTTCAGTTTTCTTACCTTTTAAATGGGGCAACCACATCACTGATGGTTGCACAGCTCTGTAAATTAGCTAAAAATCATTCAACTGAATATTTAAAACAGGTGAATTTTATAGTATGTAAATTATACCTCAATAAAGCTGTTTAAGAGTGCCCTCAACATAGAGATGATATGAAAAAACCTAATGCATATAAACTGTCTGGCACTGTGCCTAGCACACAGTAAACAATAAATTATTAGTGATTAGCATTAGTGTAATAAAGAGATTATAGAACACTGAAGATACATAAAGTTAGATTTTTTTTTAAAATCAAGAAATTATTGGCCTGGTTGAAACTTCAGAGATCATTAAGTTCAAGTCTCATTTTATAGATGAGAAAATTAGGGACAGACAGATGAAGTGCCTAATTCAAAATGTAGCTCTAAGGCCAGACCCCAGACCTGCTTGAATCCATTAGTGCGATTCCCACTACCACCCACTACCTCAGAAACGTGGACACGTGAAAATAGAGGATGTTTTTCCTCAAAGGAGAAATAACATGTAGAAAACAGGAAAATCACAGAGATGTTGAAGAGAATTCCAAGGTCAAGGGGCAAATAGAGAAGGGGCTGTCACATCCTGGCCTATCATCAACCAGGGCCCCCAGCAGAGGGGTCCAGGTCATGAGAGCTTAAGTGCTTTGGCAAGGCCAGGCCCTGGTCACTCAGGTGAATGGGCTCATCACTGTGCCCAGGTACCTGGAGAAGATGAAGCTGCACAGTCCTCTCTGCTACCATCCTGACATAGGACCTGTCACCAGTGACAGGAGCTGGGGCCAAAAGTCAATGCAGCAGAGTTCTTGGGAGCAGTCAGTCTGAGCAGCCCTGAAGTGAAGCTTCTGCTAAGGCCCACTGCTGAGTTGTCTGGCCTCATGTATTTTTCCCCTGGCCTTATCCAATAAGTCCTTCTGAATTTTAAGGGCCTCACTTACAATCCTGTAAATTGCGTGTCAGCTTTCTCCATAATGGCGCCCTCTTCAAATGAATGAGGGAACCTGGCAGATGTGAAATGGCCCGAGACTCCTGCTTCTTCATTAATGCTGACCTCTTCTAAAGGAACTTGACAGCATGGCTGGAAGGTTTTGAGGCTAATAAAAGCTTACTAAACTACTTAATCCTAAAAAGTGAACAGGTGAATGAGATGTGTCTTCTAGGCCATGACTTTCTAACATTTCAGGGGATAACATTCAGTGAGTCAACTTTGTCATTCTTAGGAGATGATGGAATCATATTCCTCATTTTTCCTGAGAAGTAACAATTTAGGCTAGTTGGCTGGTACAGACCACTAATGTTGTATACTCCACTGGGGAAGAAGGAGTGAAAGAGGGAGAGAGAAGAGGAGAATTAAGGCCTGAAACAGCTTTTATGATTAAACTCAGTACACTGAAACCTCTCAATGAATAGTTCATAAAAGTGCCTCATCCTTTTCAACTGTTCAGATCAAAATCAGTGGAAGGACAGAGGAGATTCTTCAAAATGATCTCATTCTGAGAACCTGGGGTACAGATGGTGAACAAATTAATAAGTCAGAAGCATTTCTACAGAAAGCTTTCCTATTTTGCAGATCATTCCATACAGTGAACACTTTGATGTCTGAGGAGGTGAGAGCTCCGACTAAATGTCTTCTGACATTCTTGGCACTCATAAGGCTTCTCTCCAGTGTGAATTCTCTGATGTATGATAAGTTGGGAATGCTGGCTGAATGTTTTATCACACTCATTACATTCATAAGGCTTCTCTCCAATATGGATTTTCTGATGAAGAAGCAGCTCAGAGTTATCCCAAAAGGTTCTTGCACATTCATTACACTGATGGGGTTTCTCTCCAGTATGAATTCTCTGATGGACAATAAGGTGAGAGGTCCGTCTGAAAGCCTTTCCACACTCGAAGCATTCATAGGGTTTCTCTCCCGTGTGAATTCTCTCGTGTCTAAGAAGTTCTGAGTTGCCCCTGAAGGCCTTCCCACATTCCTTACATACATAGGGCTTCTCACCAGTATGAATTCTAATATGTCTAATAATTTCTGAGTTCTGACCAAAAGTTTTCCCACATTCGTTACATTCATAGGGCTTGTCCCCTGTATGAATTCTTTGATGCCGGATAAGTTCAGAACTCTGACCAAAGCCTTTCCCACATTCGTTACACAGATATGGTTTCTCTCCGGTATGAATTTTCTGGTGTCTAATAAGGCCTGAGCTATGCTTGAAGGCTTTACCACACTCATGGCATTCATGATACCTTTCCTCAGTATGAATTCTCTGATGCTGAATAAGCTGTGAGCTAACCCTAAAAGTCTTCCCACATTCATTACATTCATATGGTTTCTCTCCAGTGTGGATTCTCTGATGTAGAATAAGGGCTGAATTCTGACTGAAGGCTTTACCGCATTCTTCACATTTATATGGTCTCTCTCCAGTATGAATTCTATGATGATGGATGAGATGTGAACTCTGAATGAAAGCCTTTCCACATTCATTACAGGCAAAGGGTTTTTCTCCAGCATGAATTCTCAGGTGCCTTCTAAGGCTTGAGTTAGTTCCAAATGTCTTTCCACATTCTTTGCATTCAAAGGGTTTCTCTCCACTGTGAACTCTCATATGCTGGATAAGATGGGAGTTCTGATTAAAGGCTTTCCCACATTCTTTACATGTATGAGGCTTTTCTCCCACAGAATTCTTCTGTGTTTTGTTAGGTTCTACATTATCTAAGAAATTCTGATCAGAAGTAACAAATGTACTAACTCCCTCTACTGTAGTATCTCCCTGATGTGTAACCAGATTTGGACTGGGACTGCAGCCTCTCTCACTCCCATTATACTCCTGATCTTTCTCACTTGAGGGTGATTTCTTGAAGATAATCAACTCTGATGCAAAGTCTCTCTCCTGAGGAGATAACTGCTCCACAATTTCTTCTGTGGACTCTCTTGAATGTCCCTCCAACATGTGTTCTTCACATGCTGTGCCAAACGTATGACTCTGGTAAACCACCCTTGGAAGTCTTTCTAATATCGCCCCATGTGGTTCATATTCTTCAGAAATTTCTTCCTTGGGAATCACCTTGTTCTCAGTGCCCATCTCAAAATCTGAAATGAGAGAAGGGAAGTATGTAAAGTGGCTATGTCACATTTAAATGAAGCTAATGCCTAGAGTATGGTGCTTTGAAATAGTTATGACACCACTCAAAAATAGCCTAAGTACCTGGTGAAGTGATAGGATGCTTCTGAAGAAAGAGATTTAGGATTAAGGTGCATATGCAGAACTATGAGCAGATGTTGACTAAAAAGGATGGGAGAAATGATAAAAGATTTAAGGAGAGAAGTAGGAAATCGATGCTACAAGGGGATGCTGATAAAAGTTCCATAATATTAACAGTGAGTGGGGATGGATCCTGAGGTTGGTAAGGAAAACGTTTAGGGAAAATGGTAGCCATAGTAATAGATGGGGATATGGAAAAGGTTGGGAGAAGGGGCAAAACTGGCAAGTTACATTATGCTGAGGAAAGAAGTCAGTCAAAAAAGGACAAATACCATTTGATCTCACTTATATGAAATAAGCAAATATATAGGGGTATGAGGGAGAGGGAGCAGGAGAGGTTTTGCTTAGAGGGCAGTGAGTTTATGTTAATGGTGGTAGAATAATTTGGAAAAGGATAGCGAGATTGGTGGCAAAACTTAATGTGATCAATGCCACTGAATTGTGCATATGGAAATTGTTGAATTGGTAGTGTGTTTTGCTGTGTATATTTTTATGACAATTAAAAAAAAAACTGTCAAGTTAAAAGGAATCTTTTGGGTTTATAGAGTATGCCTTAGTTATCTAGTGGTGCTATAACAGAAATACCCCAAGTGGATGGCTTCAAAAACAGAAGTTTATTCTCTCACGGTCTAGTAGGCTACAAGCTGAATTCAGGTGCCAGCTCCAGGGGAAGGCTTTCTGTATCAGCTCTGGAGGAAGGTTCTTGTCATCAATCTTTCCTGGTGTAGGAGCTTCTCAGCACAGGAACCTTGGGTCCAAAGGACACGCTCTTCTTCCAGCACTGCTTTCTTGGTGGAGTGAGGTCCCCCTGTCTCTCTGCTCGCTTCTCTCCTTTATATCTCAAAAGAGACTGACTTAAGACACAAACCTAATTTGTAGACTGAGTCCTGCCTCATTAACATCATAGAGGTAGGATTTACAACACATAGGAAAACCACATCAGATGACAAAATGGTGGACAATCACACAATACTGGGAATCATGGCCTAGCAAAGTTGACAGGTATTTTTGAGCAACACAATTCAATCCATAACAAAGTGTGTTTGCCGTAAAATATGTGTTGTAAATCCTAACGTCTATGCCTGTGGCTATAATCCCACTTGAAATGGGTTGTTTTGTTGTTAATGAGGCAGGATTAGTGTAGGATGTATCCTGAGTCAATCTCCTTTGAAATATAAGAGATTAAATACAAGCTAGAAGCACAAATGGGGTAAGGCAGATGCCAAGACACTCAGAGATCTCTGAGGAACCAGAAAGCAGAAGCTGAAGAGACAAGAACTTTCCTAGAGTCAGCGTTCTGAATTCGGACTTCTAGCCTCTTAAGCTGTGAGAAAACAAATATGTTTGCTAAAGCCATGCACTTGCATGACTTCTCTTATAGCAGCACTAGACAACTAAGACAGAATTTGGTACCAAGAAGTGGGGATGCTGCTCTAACAAATATCTAAAATGTGGAAGTGGTTTTGGAAGAGTTTTAAGGTGCCTAATAGTAAAAGCCTAGATTGCCTTGAAGAGTCTGTTGGTAGAATTATGGATGTCAAAGGTAGTTCTGGTGAGGGCTCAGAAGGAGGTGAAGACAGCTCTAGAGAAAGTCTCTATCGTCTTAGAGAATATATATGGCACCAGCAACAGAATGTTGCTAGAAATGTGGATGTTAAATTTGCTTCTGTTGAGGCTTTAAAAGAAAATGATGAACATGTGATTGGACAATGGAGGAAGGGTAATGCTTTTTATGCAGTGGCAAAGAACTTGTCTGAATTTATGTTCAAATGTTTGATGTAAGGTAGAACTTGTAAGTGATGAACTTGTGTAAGTGATGAACTTGGATATCTGGCTGAGGAGATTTCTAAGCAAGATTTTAAAGGGGCTGTCTGGTTTCTCCCTGCTGCTTATAGTAAAACCTGAGAGGAAAGAGATGAACTTAAAAATGAACTGTGCAAAATGCAAACAAAACTTAGAAGATTTGGAAAATTCTGTTGTACAAACTAAGAACCCATGTCCTAGAATTTTCACCAAGGATGTGGTTACACAATCTTTTGTTAAAGAGATTAAGCCTGTGACTGATGGATCTAATCAACTACCGCAGCAGAAAACCCATCAACTTAGACTGAAGGGGACAGAAAAGGATGAAAGAAGAGAATGCTGTCTGCCTCTTGGAATTCTATAGGCATGAAACAGGCCAAAGGAGCTACATCTGTTGTCCTCCAAGAAAAGAAAAGGACCATCCCTGCAGCAGCTTGGAGATCAGCAGAACTGTTGGAAGGAGCACAGAAAGCAGAGCCTTCTCAGTTTCAAAGGGCTGGGACACAGTCTTCTGGATCTCAAATGGCAGGGCCACAGTCTCCTAGGTTTCAAAGAGTTGGATCTTTGCCAACTCGGTTCCAGAGTGTGGGGCTGCCAGAATGTGGGGCTGCCATGAAGATATGCCAGGGGGATGGGGCCGCCGCTCACTGTTGAGGGAGCAGAGCTGCCATACCCAGAGAGTAGAACGGGGCCTGCCAGGGCCAAGGGGGTAGGGTCACCATTCAGGTCGACTAGGAGAATGGGGCCACCAAAAGCCAGAGGGGCAGAGTTGCTGTCCCAGTGGGCCTGGAAGGCAGAGCTGAAGCCCAGGGCCAAGGGGCCTCCACCCAGAATCCAGAGAGCATGGCCAACACCCAGAGTCTGGAGGGCAAGGCCATTGCCCAGATGGTCTCAGAGAACACAGGATTATTTTCAAGCCTTGAATTTGTTCCGCTGGGTTTTGGATTTGGTTGGTGTCTGTCATCCTTTCTTTTCCTCCAATTTCTCCATTTTTAATGGAAATGTTTACCTTGTGCCTGTTCTACCATTACACTTTGTAAACAGACAACTTGTAGTCTAGATTTCACAGGTTCACAGATGAAAAGAAATTTTGCCCCAGGATGAAATTTGCCTAAAGTCCCACCTATATTTGATTTAGATGATTCAGAAGATGAGATTTTGGAGTTGATTTAAGACTTTTGGGTTGATGTGATGGGGTGAGTATGATTTGCATGTGGCAAGGACATGAATTTTGGGGGGCCAAAGGGTGGAATATTATGGACTGAATTGTGGCCCCAAAAAATATGTGTTGTAAATCCTAACCTCTGTGCCTGTGGTTATAATCCCACTTGGGAATGGGTTGTCTTTTTTATGTTAATGAGGCAGGACTGGTATAGGATGCATCTTAAATCGGTCTCTTCTGAGTTATAAAAGAGATTAAACAAGCAAGCAAGCAAGCAGAGAGGGGAAGATAGATGCTAAGACACACAGAGATCTCTAAGAAACCAGGAAGCAGAAGCTGAAGAAACAAGGACCTTCCTCCTGAGCTGACAGAGAAAGCCTTCCCCTAGAGCCGGCGCTCTGAATTAAGACATCTCGCATCCTAAACTGTGAAAAAATAAGAAGCATCTGTTTGTTAAAGCCACCCACTTGTGGTATTTCTGTAATATACAGCAGCATTAGATAACTAAAACATAGAGAAAATAACCACAAAATAAGTAGCAAGAGGAACTAAGTCCAGTCCTGTGGTACTCACTAGCTCTACAGATCAGGGATAGTATATGGAGACATTACCCACTCAAAAGGTTAGTGTGACTTAGCTATAATTAGCACAGAAGTAACTACCCTTGGCTTTGGATGAAGTAAGGTTCTGGCTTTATTTTTCTCCAGATGGTTAGTGGATTTTATCAATGCCACTTACCAAGTAATTCTTTTCCTTACTGACTTGAAATGCCACCTATACCATAGTCTTAATGTCCATATACATTTGGTCATTTCTGAACTCCATTCAGTTCTATTAATCTGTCTATTCCTTGTCTAATACCAAACTGTTCGATCTACTGTAGCTTTATTAAAATTTTTAATATCTGATAGTTATCTCTCATTAGTCTTCTTTTTCATCTTTCCTGTCTGTCCTCATATTTTTCAAGTAAATTTTAGCATTTTATAAAATTTCCAAAATTATCCTAATGTTGTTTTCGTATCTATCATGTCTCTGTATGTCTTTTCATTTAGTATGAGTTTTTCTTACTGGTTATTATTTATACATATAGCAGTGCTGTTCATTTTTATATACTAATTTTGTAATCAGCTCCTTTATAGAATTTTCTTAGTACCTTTGTGGATCTTAAAACCTATAACTTTTTTAAACTTCTAGGAGACTATGGAAAAGTTTTCTAGTTGACTATCCCAATATCCATTTTTCACCACTACCTCAGCAACAGAAAAATGAATGTCTTTAGTGTGGCAATAAGCCTAGTTAACTTTTTTGCAGCTAGGTTTGGCCATGTGACCAAGTTCTGGCCAAGGACATTGGGATGCAAATGAACATATGTTGGACTTCTGGGAAGGCTCCTTAAGGGTGAGTGGATGCATTTCCTCACTCTCTTCTTTCATTCTTGTGCCTGAGGCATGATGTGATGGTTGGAGCTCCATCTTGGACCTTGGGTGCACCAGCATACCCTAGGGCTGGGGATCAGAGCTAGAAGGAACCTGGGTCCCTGATGACTCCATGGAGCTGCTATACCAGCCCTGAAATTCCTGCCTCTAGATTTCTTTTATCTAAGAAAGAAATAAGCTTTTACCTTGCTTAAGCCATTGTTTTTCTATTGTATGTAGCCAAACCTTCTCCTAGCTGATACAATGGCCCCAGAGATTTAGCTGTCCCCATCACAGAAGTGGGGTCCCAATGCTGGGAGAATGAGGCTGGCCTCTGTCCAGGTGGTAAGCAACCTGGAGCTAATATTGATGTGGCCCTTTGTCTAGGGCAGTGTATTTGTACACTACAGCACATCTGAGGAATACAATCCTCCCATAATAAAAGCAT